GAGGCGGGGCCTGGGGCGGAGGGGCCCAGCAGACAGGAGCCCTGGCTGGGGTCGCCTCAGCTGCCTGCTGCGTGTGATGCCATCAAGCTCGTGTGACGCCATCAAGCTCTCTGCCTCAGCCGCCTCAGCCGTGTCTGCGAAACTGCAGCCTAAGCGGGCTGTGGGGCTGTGGGGCTTCGAGGGCTGGCGGCTGGCAGCACACTCAGCCAAGCTGCTGGGCACACCTGGAGGCTCCCCGCTGTGCCGGGCTCCTGCTACGGGGACACAGCCTGACAGGGTGAAGGAACCCGGCTTCGGGTCAGACAGGCCTGGGTTTGCACCCCGGCAGCTCTGGTCGTGGAGCTTTGGGCAAGTGCCTGGGCCTCTCCGAGCCCCTCCTCATCTATGGATTTGGATTGTAACGGGAATTTTGCTGTAAGAGTGAAACAAAGCAGTTATACCGGGCTCCCACCCAGCTCCTCTCCCTCCAGGCACTCACCTGCCCCTCAGCAGCGGGGAGGCTGCCTCCCGGCTCAGCAGACAGACACGGGGTCGTCAGGACCCTGCGGTCTTGGCAGTGAGGGCCAGAGCTCTAGAGTCAGGGCTGGGCTGGGAGCCAGAAGCCCCCACCACTTGCTGTGGCCTCAGTTTGCTCATCTCTACAATGGGCTGCTGTGTGCATTAAAATAGCTCACATGGAGGCCCATGCTTAGCAGGTAGTAAGTGCTCGGTGCAACTAGCAACTGTGATGATTCTTTTGGGTCTGATCGGAGCCCCCATGAGTGGTGGGACCCACAGTTAGCTGTCAGCCGGCGTGCAGTGACCACAAGGAACCCAGGGCTGCTCCTTCGACCACCCACTCCCAAACCGGAGGCTGGCAGCTGGGGACGGAATACACTGTCCTGGCGCATCCAAGCACATTTCTGGATGTGCCCGGGCTTTTAAAAAGAACAGCTTCAGCCCTGTACAGTGTGGCTTGCTGGTTGGAGCTCTGGCCCATGCTGGGAAGGGCTGTGGGTTCGCTTCCGGATTCCTAGTCAAGGGCACGTACCTGGGTTGCAGGTTTGGGCAACCAGTCGATGTGTCTCTCTCACGTGGATGTTTCCATGTTTCTCTATCTCTCTCCCCTGCCCTCCCTCCTTTACATGCTCTCTGAAAATCAAATGGAAAAATATCCTTGGGTGAAGATTAACAAAAAAAGAACCATAATAACAAAAAGAACAGCGTTCTTGCTCCCTGCAGGCAGAGCTTCTGCTGCCTGTGGGCTCGCGGGGCACTGCCAGGGAGCCAAACACCGTGGCCAGGGTGATCTTGGCGGGGTCGCCTTGAACTCAGGCGGTCACACACACTAAGGGGCCTTACCGAGCCAGACCAGCTGTGTGAGGTTCTCCAGGCCCTCGATCCTCTCGATGATGTTATTGTCCAGCTGCAGCTTCCTCAAGTTCTCAAACTGCCAGAGGTTGTCAATGCGGAGGATGTCTGAAACAGGCCGCGGAGACCGCTGGCTCCAGCCTCGGCGTAAGGTTAGAGTCTAGCGCAGTGTCCTGGGGGCTGAGCTGATGCTACGCACACGCAGGCCCCGCCCCGCTCCTGCATGCAGTCTGTGGGCGCCCTGACTGGGCTGAGCACCAGGAGCTCAGGACACAGGACTCGTGCGGCCTCCGGGGCCAGGCTGAGGGCTGCCCAGGACACCAGACAACTTGGGGCACAAGGCACAGGCCGGGGTCCGCCTGCCTTCCCTCTGCCCCATGACAAACGGAATCCAGGCTGCAGGGTGAATGCCTCCTTGTGCACTGGGGGTGGGTCAGTCGACTAGTTCAGACATTTTGGAGGGCAATTTGGCCACATTTACTGAAATATTTAATGTCTGTGCCCTTTGACCGTGCAGTTTCTCTACTTGGGATCTGTCTGCAAAGACACACTTGTGTATATGCCCAAGGAAATACCTCTAGGAACATGGTGGGCAGAAAGATAGGGGGACCCCAAATGCCATATATGGGGTGTTGTCATACAGCGACAGGCAGGCTCCATGAGTCACAGGAGCGCCCACCCTGTGGTCCCTGAGGGCCCCCTTTACAGTCACAGGCCAACTTGCTGTCTGGCCGGACACACACAAGGCACTGTGGCTTCTATGGCTGCAGCCAGTGGGTCCTGAAAACCCTGAAGTTTGAATAAGTGTATTCTGTGTATGTAAAATCCTAGAGGGCTGACACTGTCCCCAGTTCACTCTAGAAGCTACAAATAACTCTACTGCTTACATGCCCCTTTGCTCTATATTTGCTTTTGTAATAACTGCTGAAACTTAGAGTATGCTCATTGTAAGACGAAGCGGGGAGAAGGTGTCCTTAATAAGCACACATTTGGGGCAGCAGTTTCAGTTTTCACTCAGGGGGACGATATTCACTGAGGTCCTGGGAGAGACACAGCACCCTCCCCACTGCCCTCTTCCAGCCATGTCTCCCTCGGTGGAGGGGGGTGCGGGGGGAGGGGCCAGCGTCTCTCTGACCCAGAGTCCTGCCTGTCCTGGGCCCCAGGGCCAGGTAGCACTGGGGTCTGTTCTGCAGCTCTCTGACCAGATTCCCAGGCTGCTTCCGCCACCATCCCTACTTGTGCTTCTGGGTGGCCCAGGGCCGCCAGGCGCCAGCACCTCCCATCCCGGTCTGGATTTCCCGGGCACCTTCTCTGAGCCTGGCCTGAGCCTGAGCCTTGGGTGCAGCTGACCTGCAGACACCACTCCTCAGGGTGGCTCTCACACTCCTGGGTGCTCGCCGGGCACCCCTGCACGCTGGCTTTCCCCACTCATCAGCAGTTCGTGTGGAAAAGCCAAACAACACAACAAAATCAGGATCTACTTGGCAGTTAGCTCTGAACGAGCCGCTAGCAGGATAGGACTACCTCAAACGCCCATTATCTTCAACGTGGACAGAGCCCTCCTCACTGCCATCGCCTCGGTCTCGGCCCGTGCCCCTAGACTCCCTGCTCCCCAGGCCCCGCCTTCTATCCTCCTGCAGCCGTGGGACCCTGTGAAACCTAAATCCCTGTCCCTCCTCTGCTCAGGACCCTCCGAGGCTCCCCGCTCCCTCACTATACAAACCACATCCCTCTCCAGCCCCAGGCCGATTCTAGCTGACCCGCCACTCTCTGCCTGTCTCCACCCAGGTCTGCGCCCCGGGCTTCTGTGCTGGCTGCTTCCTCTGCAGTCAGCACCTTCCTGCATCTCCGCGTGGCTCCTTCCCTTCCCGCCTTCTAGTCTTTACTCAACTGTCACCTTCTGGGTGAGGCCTCTCACCAACCGATAAAACACTGCGTCCACCAGGTCCCCTTCCCCCTCTCCTGACGTGATTTCTCTCCACAGCACAAGCTGCCTGCAGCGGACACTGTTCTCGCCTCCGTTTTCTTCTGTGTGTGTCCCTCACTTGAATGTCAAGCTCCATGAGGACAGGCTTCTTCTTCTTCTTCTTTTTTTTTTTTTTTTTGACTTTTTGTTCACAGTTGAATGCCTAGCACCTAGACAAGCACCTGGCATGTAACAGGCACTTGGTAAATTCTGGCGGAAGGAACCCCGGCTGGGCGGGGAAGCATCAGGAAGGGGGCAGTGCAAAGCTCCCTCTGGTGACAGCCGTTCTGCAACCCCTTAGCCTTCCACCACCGAGGCCAGGGCCTCACTGCTCTGGGTGGCCAGCCCTGCAGAGCTGGGGTCACCCTGGAGGCCTGTGCGCTCTGTGGGCTGGGGTCAGGGCCTTGCCCACTGCTGGGCCCCCAGGGTCTGGCCCAGACCAGCTGAGGCAGGGCCTCAGGGAAGACAAAGAGGGTAAAGGAAATCAAATATATGGTGACAGAAGGAGCGGAGACTGGGGGCCGTGCGCAGATGCTAGAGTGTACAAATGCTGCTGATAAAGTTGTACACTTGGAATTTACAGTGTTATTAACCAATGCTACTTCAATTTAACTTTTTTTAAAAAAAGAAGAAACCTCCCACCAAAACCAGTCAAAAGAAAGAAAAGAAAAGAAAAGAAAAGAAAAGAAAAGAAAAAAGAATTCCTTCTTGTTGAGCAGATGGCTCAGCAGGCTGGCTGGGAACCCAGGACACAGCAGGACTATGAATCTGACCAGTCCCTCCACTGTGGCCCGCCTGCATGTGAGAATTGTGAGAATAATCAAGTAATCTTTTCCGTCAAAGAAGGGAGTTTAGGCGACTGCCACTTTGAAACCGCAAAGGTCAACCCCTCCCACTTTCCTTTAAATTAGCACAAGAATGTGAGCCTAAACTCTGACCAATCAAGAGTGAGGGACAGACGGTGTGTGTCAGGGATAAAACCCTGTGTAGGTGCCCGCCCTCCTGCAGGAGTGAAGATACTGCCTTGCTGTTGGCTCCCAGGATCACTTGTGTTCCACCAGGACCCTTGGTTTGGGGGCTCGCCTTCTTTCTAACATGCACAGTGCCTGGCTGCAGGCTCTGTGCCCATCTCTCCTGCTTCCTCTCACAGCTCTCACTAGCCTTTTTTAATGAACCCAAACTGTGCACGTTGTCTTACCTTGTCCTCCCAACCAGCCCTTGGCCAGAGACTACAATGATCCCATTTCACAGATGGGGACACTGAGGCACCGAGATTCTACCTGGTCCCCAGCCACATCTTCCCAGTAGGCTACCCGGCCACTCTTGCCCAGCTCCCTGCCCATGGCCCTGTGCCACTCCTGTCTTCTGCTCCTCCTCCAAAGCTGTACCTGCCCCCCCCCCGCCCCCCACAGCTGTGCTAACCGCTTGGGACCACCCTCCTAGGTTCCTCCGCCCGAGGACACTAAGGCCTCTGTGGGTCACTTACATTTGGAATGGGAGAATTTTATCTTTTTATACGGGAAAAGCCTGGAATTCTGGGGCTGGGATGTGGATTGGAGAAAGTCAGGGGGTCCTGCCTGGAGCCCTGCCCGCCCAGGGTACGCACTCTGGAAGTCCAGCTGTAGGGAGACGACGTCCTTAAAGAGGATGCCCTCCTGTTTGGCCAGCTGCCCAGCCTCCTCCTGTGGGCCCTGCTCCCCGACGGCCAGCTTAAGCATGTCGTCGTTCATCACTCTCGGCTCCAGTGAGTTGCACAGCCGGTTCATCTTCCCTAAGAAATATCACGTTTGTGCTCCACAATCTACTTCTCCCTTTGCCTGAGGACAGGGCCGGTGGGCATCCTGTTAAAGTGCTGGGAGCACTGTGGCGGGTAAGGACACACAGACGCTGCCCTCCTCCCACTGCTTGGCCCCCGGCACCGAGGGGTTAGGACATTGGCACCAAGGCTGCTCCAGGGCTTCCCCGGGCAACCATGTACGCCCATCCTGCCTGGTGCCCTTCCTTGGCCCCACAACCACAGCTGTGACCCTACCCCGGACAAGGGATGGTGCCACACTGGTCTCTTATCCTCTGGAGCTCAGCTTCCCTATGGCCGTGGTCACCTTGGGCCTTGGGCTTCTGTGCCCACCCTTGTTCAGGTTTCTTGGTGCCACCACTGAACATTATCCCAGCCAGGCATGCTAGCCCGCAGCTGCCTCCTCTGAGAGCCTCAGCCAGCCAGACAGCCATGTCTGTATTGCCTCCCCCAGCTCCCCCCGCATGCTGCCCAGTGTGTAGGAGGATACCCACCAAGCTGGTCATTCATGTTTCCCCTGAGAAATGTGAGCATGGGCTTCAGGATAAGAGTGCCCACCAGAGCTGGCTGCTTGAGCTGGGGAGAAAGTGGGGCAGATGAACAGAGAGAAGCAGAGATGGAAATCTGGGGGATCCAGGGGAAAATAGACAGAAGGACAGACAGACTGGCACAGACAGAGGCTGCCTTCTTCTTGCTGGCTTTCCAGCCCCTAATGTCCCTGATTTCAGGCCCTGTGAGAGTTTCCTACTTCTGGCATCAAATCCTCCTTCACTTAAACTAACCCAGGAGGTTCTGTTGTTAATGGTCCAAAGGAATTGGGTTGAGATACCGCAGGCAAAGCGGGGAGCTGGGGACTCGGTCAGTCACACTGTGAGGATGACCAAGCTGCCATTCCTGGCTGGGCAGAGCCACAGCCCTGGGAAGCCAGGGCATCCGACCTCCTCTCATCACCAGCCCCTGAGTGAGAACATCCCGGAGACTGGGCCCGCAGGAAGACACCCTCTCCGTCAGTCTCCTGGCGATCCCCAGATCCCGCCTCCCTAACCTCTGCAAACTCAGTTCTCCCTCCGACTGCACCCTGCTTCTCACCTCGCTGCTGTCTTTGTCTGCACGTGTCCCCAGCATCGGGGCCTCCCTGAACCTCCCATCCTCCCTGCTCTGCTAGCCCTCGACACCGCACAGCCCCTGTCCTCTGCCCTTTATCCACGGGGTTCTGTTTGGAGAGAGCGCTGGTGGCGATGGTGTGCACCACAGGCCCGGGGCCTGGCAACCCTGCCACTTGGCCTTAGGCTGCCACTGCCCCGCTGCCCTCCCCGCTCCTTCCCCACCATCCACTGAAGGCAGCTTACGAAAATATGCATCTTCCAGTTCTGGATTTTGCATGATCAGATGTCCCATGCTTTTAGCTCTCATGCGGCCTTTCCTTCTCCCCCCAGAGGAGGCACAGCCTCACCTGACCCCAACCCCATCCCTCCGACCCTCCCCCTTGCCTAGTCTCTACCTGCACCGTCCATCTTCCTGCTCCTCCCATTTGTCGACACTGGCTACATCTCCTGCCCACAAAAGATGTTTCCTGCCCTCTGCCTTTCTCTATATCCCTACTCTTCTGAAATAAATTTTTCTAAAATTTCCCATAACTTGACACCGAGTTGCCTTTGGGGACATTTTAATGTGCTGTATTTGGCAGATATTACCTGTAAGGTGTTTGTGCTTTTTCAAAAAAAGGTGCTGTACTTGGGGAAATTATTCTTAATTCTGATTTCAAAACTTCAACTGACTTATCATCCCTCCCACATCAAGGCCTGGCACCTATGTCAGATCAAGCTGCTTTCGGTCCAGCCCAACAATCGCCATGCAGGCAGCTGCCTAGCCCACGAGGACAGGATTTAGACCCCGAATGTGCATCCTTTGGCAACTCACCTCACCGGCTAAGCCTTGAATTTCCCAGCTATACTAGATGAATAATTCCTCCCGCCTACATTTGTTTAAGATCATTTATTTAGTCTACACACATGTAATGAATATCTACATGTTATGATTACGACAGATCTCCTTATCTCTGTTTCAGAATAAATCATATAGTCATACAAATGTTTAATTAGAAACTATGACAAAGTTGTAGGTGTCGGGAACTATGATAGCATGCATTAGGGGCACCTGGCCTGGCCAGGGAGGTGGGGCTGAGCTCTGAAGGAGTAGAAAGAAGGAGAGGGAACTGCACAGTGAGGGCCCTGATGTGGGAAGAGGACATGTTCCACTTTGGCTGAAGTGATACAAGCTTGGAGAGGCCTACAGGAGCTCTGGGAGGCTCCTGGGGCTTAGCAGGGGCAGCGACATGATAAGATTTTAATTTTAAGAAGCTCACTCTGGGGCAGAAGAATCTCTCTCATACATATTGGTCAAAAATATCTGACAAAAGACAACCTCAGCCTGCTGAGACAGGAGTCCCCCTTCTCTTGCAAAGGTACTTCATACTTGGTAGTGTACCAAATCTGCGTTGAATTGAACTGAGAAGTCATATAAAAAAGATTCTGCCTGGCCAGTGTGCTCAGTGGTTGAGTGTCAACCTATGAACCAGGAGGTCACAGTTTGATTCCCGATCAGGGCACATGCCTGGGTTGTGGGCTTGATCCCAAGTGTGGGGCGTGCAGTCAATGGTTCTCTCATCATTGATGTTTCTATCTCTCCCTCCCTCCCCCTTCCTCTCTGAAATAAAAATATATTTAAAAAAAAGCTCACTCTGGTTGTACTACTGAGAATGACAAGAGTCATGAAGTGAGAGATGACCAAGGAGGTGGTGAGATGTGGATGTGAAAGATCTTTAGGAATTTATTTTATATGTAGAACTAGTCATTTGCAGTTTTCAGATAAGAAAATGGAAGCTAGTTAGGTTAAGTCACATGCCCAAGTTTATACATCTAGTATATAGCGGAGCTGGAGAACATGACTCCAGAGGCATGTCTTAATCATGACTCAGCTGTTCCCAGGGCACTGTAGACCATCATTGTCACTGCCCATAATGTTTTCCACAGCTGTTCTGTGTCAGGGTCAAGTCCCAAATAGTCCTCCCTAGACTCCCTAGAGTCTAGAGGGTTTTTATCATAATTTACCACCCAACCTGGGTTCCTGTTGTCTTGCCTGTTGATAGTTTTGTTGGTGAAGACCACAGGTAGGAGGTAGAGAATGCGCCTCAATGGAGTAGCCTCTCAGGAAAAAACAGATCCAGAATTATCCTAGGAAACAACAATCTGGGATCAACTGGATCTGAAAAATGAACAGTTTACTGAGTGCTTACTCTGTACCAACTGCACAAGTGTTATTTAATTACGTCAGCTCTGGAGGCCATTACAGAAGATTCCTAGTGCCCTAATTTCCCAGATAGGAAAACTAAGACTCATCAGGGGAAGGAAATTGTCTAGTCATACAAGTAGCTACTGACAAGGAACAGACATGGAACTTGGGTATCCATATGCCCAGCCAAAGTTCTTTAAATAGCACCAAGATGAAGAATAAAAATAAGAGAAATAATTTAACGACAGTTATGAAGTGGGATATAAGAGTTGAATTCTTGAAGAAGTTATCAGTGGATTTTCTTTCAGATTCCTTTCTCTCTAAGAAAGGGATCAGGCCGGAAGCCTAGGGGATCAAACCGCTTAAAAATCTCTTCGGGCTGGCCGGCCCGGGTGGCTCAATGGTTGAGCATCAAACCAACGACCCAGAAGGTCACAGTTGGATTCCGTCAGGGCACATACCTGGGTTGCAGGCTCCATCCCCAGGAGCGGGTGTGCGGGAGGCAACCGATCAATGATTCTCTCTCATCAGTGATTCTCTTTCCTTCTCTCTTCCTCTCTGAAATCAATAAAAAATATTTTTTAAAAATCTCTTCGGGCCCTGCCCCCTGAGGAAATGCTTCCTTAGTATTTCTTTCTAATCCAGAGGTTTGAAAGCCCAGGACTAGAGTTTTTACAGATGGGAAGGGCTGGGCCAGGTACCTCGGAGAAAAAAGTCAGAGAAAAGAGTTAAGTCGGGCTCTGTCAGCCCTCCCAGAGATTCAGCTCCCGGGCCTCACCTTCTGAAGCGCAGGCTACCAGGCTGGTTCCCGCAGAAGTCGCTCCGCTCAGTTGCTAGGAGAGCCAGAAGACGCCACTCCGTTGCTAAGGGGAAGTTAGGAAGTAAACATCCTGGGTGAAAGTTGATAAGTCGCGTAAAAACATTCCTGGGTGGGGAAATACTCCTGTCACCAACCAGCTTTAGAGAAAACAAATGTTCCTCCAATCAGCACTTCTCATGGGCGGGGATCTTTCTAGCCTCGTCTCTTTCCTGCGCCTACTTGAGTGATTGACTTTCCTGTTCTCCAATAATAGTAGGGATTCTAGATTGACCAATATATAGATGAATCAAAACACACAGACTCGTTCGGAGGCGGGCCAAGGGAGGTGCCGCTGCGCTAGACTGCGATCCCGGCGACTTCGCTTGCTCC